AAGTTCAACCCTTTGGAGTGGAATGTGGAGATTATAAAATTTGCGTTGCATGAGTGTTAAGTTATGAAAGGTTTTCAGCTGACAGTTTACAATTATCTGACACTTGAACATTGATAACGATTAGTCAAATACAATTTAAACTACTTCAACGCCATTCACTTTTAAGTGTTTCTTATAGGATAGAATGGTCAACCGTGTCAAAAGCTGCACTTTTGGCCCAGAAGCATTAGCACAGTTGCACTGTCAGCATCGGTTGCCATTGTTATGTCATTTACAACTTTAGTTATGGCAGTTCCAGTGCTGTGTCCCGGACGGAAGCCTGACTGGAACCTATTCAGTATGTCGTGTCTCACCAAGTAAGTTGCTCCTCAGCTTCACTCAGTCTTCTGCAGAACTTTTCACAAAAATGGCACGTTGGAGATAGGTCTGTAATTGCTGAGCTCCTGTGGATCCAAACTTGGCTTCTTCAGTAATGGCCTGATTACTGCTACTTTAAATTGGCCAGGAACATCACCTGATGACAAGGATGCATTCATTATGGCAGTTATAGGTCTTTCCAGAATTGCCAGGGATTCTTTAAGAAGCTTAGTGGGGATTAGGTCCAGTGGACAAGTGGTTGGTTTGACCTTAACTATAATAGTTTTTCGCTCTCATTCATTAATTAATTCAAAAACATTAAGGGTGTGTTCACATTCCGCTTGTATTGGCGTTAACAGTAATGTTGTAATCAATCTTCAGCAGTTTGTCTCTTCCACTCCAACACAACAACATAGACTGAGACAGGAAAAAGCATCAGGGCATACCACTAACATTTGAATTAGCAAACCTTGCTGACTAGTAACATTACCACCGATGGCTGAATCTGAAATTGTTGGACCGGTTCCTGCAATGCACAGAGCTGAAGTGTGTGTGTTTTTTGGGTTCCACAATAAAGAAGGCACTAAGGAGATCCACAAGTGTCATGCCAATGCAGATCCCACTGTTTAACGCAGATTTTATGCATATGGTCATATGCATTCCTTATACTATGACAGTTTTTATGAAATTAGATTTTAAAAATTGCAGCAAATGGGAGGGTCCCCGCTACTTACAGTTAATTCATACTTCACTTTGTCACACATGAGGAGGAGTGATGTGAATTTTGACATCAGGGGTTGGCTGCGGATGGCTGTGGTCGGTGTGCGTGTTGGCCAGTTTTTTTTTTCTCTACTGGAAATGGTGCGTCTGCATGCATTGACTAAGCATGAGCAAGATTATTGACCGACTAGATATTCCTAGTAGGTGGCGGCACTGAATTTCATAGATCGGTGGTCAACAATGAAAAAGTGAAGGAAGAATAATTGTTGTCTCTGTTGTACTAGTTATGGTGAGCAGCTGTATGAGGAGAGTCAGAGTTACCCACATATCTAATTTTTCATACTGTCCAAGCATTACACCACAGTATACAGAATTTTAAAAAGCAAATATTTAGACATTTAGAAATCTTGGCAATAAAATTCAATGTGGGGATCCTCGCTAATTGTGTCATAAGGATTTCAAAATAAAGCACTATGCTGTATTACTGTAATACCACCCAAGCCTAATAACTTTTAAATCTGTTCATAGAAGTTTAACCGTTTCACTACACTGCTTATATTTGTGTTTGTTGTGATACATCTGCCCGTTACTGGTCTAGTGGAATATTTTTGCTCTATGCCTGCACTGGCTGCAACCAAACGTAGCATGAACACAAGCTGCCGCATGCCCAACCATCCTCAGCTAAAAGTGCATGTGGAAAAGTGAAGTATGAACTGGCCTTCTGAGGTCCCTGCTGCTACTATAATCTAGGTATGAGCACAGCCTGTAAACCCTTCAAGTGCAAGAGCTTGCAGGTTACTAGATATGTGCCCTTCTATTTACATTTACCCATAGACATGTTTGTAAAACAGAATTGCCAGTATGAGAATTGACTCAGTGGTATACACATTATAGTTTAAGATGGTTGACTTGTGCTTCTCAGATTTATTTTTGGATTGCACCCAAAGACAGTGTTGTCATGCATAGGATTGCAAAGGAGTGGAAAATTTCCGGAAAGTTTCCATGGAAATTTTAACAGGGACATTTTGGGAAATTATTATGCACCACCAACTGCTGGTCATTTTGGAGACCACAGTTTTGTAGATACTATTAGTTTCTACTTTCTACTACTTATATGCACACATTTGAGTATACAGAAGATGAGGTGAAAGGCCAAGCTGCGGTAAGTATGCAAAGGGGTGGAATATATCTGGTAAATTTCCAAAAACTTTCCAGAAACTTTCCATGGGAAGTCGAGCTGCGGAATTTTGTAAATATTCAAAATTGGAATGTTTGTGTGTTTTTACGCACACATATTACTCACAAGCAATTGGTTACACAATTATCACTATTATTGTCCTCAAGTTTGGCGTCTTGCGATTATGATGGTAAGTATATGATTTCTGTGTGTCTGAGAGATTGTGAGTTATTATTTTTAAACTCAATCAGTACAGCATTGCAAGATGTTTTTTCCAACTACATTTAAGTTCCCTCTTATAGGCTGACCTGTAATTTTGAAAATTTCCAGTTTATTCCCATTAATTCCCATATATTCCTGTTAGTTCCCATGGAATGTTTCCAACTTTGAAAATTCCCAGAATTTTGCCACCCTAGTCATGTGTTTCACACTGAGCTGTTCTGGAGATCCTCAGGATGTTTATGTCTTGATTGATCCTCCAGCTCAAGCATTCACTGCCTTGATGTAACTGGCTGCTATAAACAGCAGTAACAAGCCGAATGTGGTCTTCAGGCTATTAATGTGCTTTCTTTTTCAGTCGCGTTCATCAATGCAGGAGAGTGTTAATTCTCGCTCCTCATCTGAACCAATACGAAACTCGTGTGAAATTCTCAGCAGGCCGACAGTTAGACTCTAACCACAATAATTTTTCATGCACGGATGACGCTTGTAAGGCCTCCCAAAGGCATCTCGCAGTTCGCAATGATGCTTTCAAAAGCTCATCAAGGGCTTACGTAGGTGAAGAGTTCTTGAAGGTGAGGATCAAAGTGTTTTTACATAACTCACTTACAGTCTGCCAATTATATTAAATAATGACTAGGTGCAGGGCAGGTGATGTAACACGGGGCTGTAATCTGTAATACACAAAGACAGGACCCTGCCTTATACCCTGTGCTGCCTGGGGTAACCTCCAGAATACCATGGTGACCCTGACCAGGATAAGCGGTCAGAAGATGGATGGGGAAAGGCAGTGTTACAGTTAACTGTATATGTCTGGTGTTGCACTTTTAGTCTGAATGCTTCAGGGCCTCCAGTTGAGAATGCAGTGTTTGTTGTGTGTAGAAATGGTTCTGGAGGCCTAATGCCCTACCTCTCTCTGCTCTGTAACCAGCAGGGGTGCGGACAGCCGAAGATGACAGAGGAGGTGATTGTTGTGGCCAAGTTTGACTATGTGGCCCAGCAGGATCAGGAGCTGGATATCAAGAAGAACGAGCGGCTCTGGCTACTGGACGACTCCAAGTCATGGTGGCGTGTGCGTAACTCCACCAACAGGACGGGCTTTGTGCCCTCCAACTATGTGGAGAGGAAGAACAGTGCCAAGAAGGCCTCCATCGTCAAGAACCTGAAGGACACCTTAGGTGAGAAGCCTGCTCACCATTAGTGGCTCACAGTTTACTTTGTAAAAAAGTGAATGTTCATGTATTTGTCTGTGTTGTCATCAAATATAGACATCAGTAAGGAACAATGCTTACAGGGTTATCTGAGAATGGTAGACATAAATGGTTGCCAGGCTTGGTTTAGTTATCAGTAAGTTAAAATACATGCAGGGACTATTAACGTTAATGTAATGTCTGTTTGAATGCTTGATACTGTCTGATATTGTTGGCTTGTTCCTGGTTTGCTTGTGTGTATTTTTATGTTTAATAAAACCCAGGAAACAATTTGCATAAAAAAACCACAAAAAACACAAATCCAGATGCTCTTAATATGCAAAAAAAACAAAAAACAAAAAAGCAGAACAGCTACAAGCAGTAGCAGTGAAACTGTTGCCGTTGGGTTCAGTTTCTTTTGCTGAGGCTGACTTGTATTAGTGAATGAGATCTCAGTCATTGAACTTCCTGTCAGCCGTGGAACAGAGCTGTACCATTTCGTGGTTTGGCTTTGTCATGCGAGTGCACCGAGCGACGGTCCCCACCACGTGCACTCAGGATTTGATCACACGTGTGTGCAGATCATTGAGCTTGGCATTAATTGGGCCACCTGGGTGAAATTTTCCCAGATCAGGGGCGATGGTGGACTATCTTGGTTTAGCCTTTGAACTCCCAGTCCACAGAACCACCAGGATCTTCTGCTAAATAGGAAACTTGTTTGGATCTTCAGCAGAGCATATTGTGTTATGTCTATAAGGAGCTTGACGACAGGACCCAGACTCTCGGTGACCCTCTTGCTAGCCCAAACTTTCTCACACCACTGGCTGTAACTTACAGTACAGAACAGAATATGGGATGGAATCGATGTACTTATGGTCTGGGTATTCATGGTGTTGCTGAGGTATTATCTGTGGTCAACATAAGGGCCCATATTACATCCTGAGCTTCAGTAATGCTGCATTCCATTTACCCTGGAAGTCAGAGCTGGGAATGATGTGACACCCAAGTTAATTGCGTTCCAGTACAAGTCGGAAAGACATTTAGCAATACCAATTCTACCCAGGTTCATTGTCAGTCAGAATTATCAGTACCTGTTGAGAATGTATTACTCAGTATTTTGCACATACATAGACAGTAGCAATATGTCCACAGATGAAGGTTGGACAGTACTGTGTGTACAGTACAACCCGATTTAATGAGGCACTATATTACCACAGCTATCACTTCCCTTGATGAAGGGTGCAGCCATCTTGAATTCTGAGATTGAAGGTTGTAGAGATTCCTCTGACTTTCCAAGTCGGAACTCCGATTTCAGGGGGCATTCCAGTTGAAATTTTCAGTCAGGAACTAGGAAATTCTGACTTACCAGTTCAAATGGAACGCACCGTAAAATTCCTGCCCATGATGGAATTGCACACAGTCAACACAGTATTTTTGGCGCTCCTACAAATATGCCAATTGATTTCTAATTTCAGGCATCCACAGTCACGCATAGGCACAGCCGTAGCTGTATGAAATTGTCCTCTTCACAATCCATTGTAAGGAACCCAGAAAGGTACAAAACCAGTCAATTTCTATCATAACAAGGAATATGCTGAACCAGGACATGATTGGCAAATGCAGGGCAATTAGTGTAATAAGGGTGCATACTTCATAGGAGACTGGGGAATGTGTGCTTAAATTCTCATTTTGAAAGACCAAACCCTAGGATTTCCTAGGCGGCTCCTCTGCTCCCATTGGCTGGAGAGAGTCACATGGGCAGGATTGGGCACACCTCTGCTTATAGCTGAGGTCCTCAGTGTACATGAGATTGTAGTGCACTCATAGTGGGGAGACGTGTGGCATTGGAAGACTCCGCAATGGACATGACAAACATTTTCAAGCATTTTTTTCGTAAGTTTAATCTTATGTTGATGCCATATGAATCTTATAGCACATCGTGTTTTAGCTTCTATCAGACCTGATGTTGTTCCTAACGCGACAGTGTCTTGCTTAAGGAGACTATCAAACTGTAGAGGTCAGTCTGACTAGACTGCTCTCATGGATTCTGTTACTGAGTAGATGTAAAGCCTGCGGCAGCCTGTAATTTCCTGGTTTTCATATCTCTTCCTTTCCACGCACATTCTGGAATGTTCTGTATCATTGCCTGTGACCTGCAGCCATGTCAGAATGCTAGTAAATGTGTCTGGCATGGTTGCACCGCCTGACTGCTCTGTGCTGTACTGGAGGGACCGTGTCTCTCGCTTCTTTAACTTTTATTGTTCCAAACGTGGCTTGTCTACGTTTTCTGTAAGCACTCGCTGTCTTTATGCCTGTCACTGCACTTTGAACCCGATGTGGGAAGCGCTTCTGTCTCAGACTGACAGACTGTGTTTTTTTTTAAATCCTCGTAATGAGTAATGTCCATGCGTTGGCCTGAGTGAGATGCTGCATGGGCTAGTCTGTGTTCATTTGTGCTGCCTCGTCAAGAGTTGGGATGTATCTCTGGGTGAACCAGGCACCCTTAAACTCTCCACTGTCAAACTGAGAAGCTGACAGTGCCCTGTCTAAACATCAAAATAATGAGCATTTATGCAGGATGTTTCTCTCGATTTAGCGGATGTTTGCCGTTCAGGCCAGATGTCTTTCTCTTGAGTCGTTTCCCTCTGGGATCCAGGAGGTTACAGTTTGGGGGACCTTATAGCTTTAATCAGGAGCATCTGTCCCCAGCCTTCTCTCCTGAATTTTTCCCGCTTTTTTTCTTAATTTATTTTCCTCCACAGCATGGTGGAAAAGGTTTTGAGTTGGAACATAATAACGGATGGAGAATTATAATGATAAAAGCAGATCTGGGATATGTTTCCTATTTCAGCCTAATGTTCCTGCAGGCTGTCCCCTGCTCCTATTGTCTTACAGCCATCAGTGCCTTTCTCTCTTTTATTTGTTTAGTTGGTTTTTTCCTGTCTGCCCCTCAGATATGATGCAGGTCCTCACGTAGGAGGAAGTGAGAGTATGCTTTCTGAAGCCTGGCCTTGTCTACCTTAAGGTCTGGAGTTTGGCTTTCATATAGCTATAATTCATTAATTTAACCTCTGGGTGCATTACAGCATGTCCTGATACAGCTATAGTGACCACACATGTGTGTGATCACAAACAGTTGACCACTAGGAAGAAGCCAGAGTGTCTTTGACAGCAATTCTAATGTCATTAAATGGTAGCATCTACATCTGGCAAGCTTGGAAGTAATTAAATTTGAAAAAATACCGAATGATTAATTAATTTACGTTTATATTATTGGATTGTAAAAACAACTAAACTGAAGTTAATTTTAAACTGACTCTGATTCTCATACAGACCTTTGGGTATTTTCAGCTGATGTTACGGTCACTGTTTGGGTTTTGTCTGAATCGTCAGCTTGTGTTTGTGTTGCGCTGAAAATCGTTTGTTTGGAATGTCACAAAAGAAATTAGGTAAGAAATTCTGTGGCGCCCAAACATTAATCTAACATAACATGTTGTTTAAATGCAAATAGTTAATTGCCACATTGTCCATAGCCCATGCTCACTCCCATATGATAGGCTAGTGTTAGGCAGAGAAAGCAGACCTTCTGGACAGGAAGTGTGCTTTGGGATTTGGCCAGACTGCTGAGGACCGTTAAACTTTGAGATTCATGAAACATCCGCTGTAGTAATCTTCTCAAAATGACCTGCCTTAGTATCTAGCTTCAATTAAAAAGATTCCTTGCTATTCTTTTAAGGACATTTTCTTAACATATTATTAACATATTATTATTAACAACAACAACATAATAACAATAATAATAATAATAATAATAATAACAATAATAATAATAATAATAATAATAATAATAATAATAATTTGTCCATTATTATTATTAAGTGGCCCAAGCTTTAACTGCTCCCTGATCGGAAAAACCCCGAACGAGATCAGTATAGCATGACAAGAAATATAATATACTATATATGACATACTAGCATAGCACAGTATTTGGAAATTTCTAAGTATTGCAATGTGATGTTGTTGTAATAGATATTTTACTATTTATAAAACAAAAAAGGAGTTCAACATGAATTCTCAAAAACCTGTCTAGGAGTGATTTAAACAACAAGGATGAAAATGATTATGATTGTCTCAGAGAATGCATGCAGCGCTCATGCAAAATCAGCATTTTTTTCCTATGAAGAGTAAAAATGTTTTAGCGAAACTTAAACACCCTGCACTATAATGTCCGTATACAGAATTGAAAGCAAGAAAAAGCCTGATCTTAATCTTGCTGACTGGCGAGGTAAGAATTGCAAGTGCACAACATGTGATGTTGGTATTAATATCACACATCGACTAACCCTATAATACAAAGCCATTTTTCAAATTCATTACAAAATTCCCTGCCTCACTTTGCGATGTCATTCAGTGCCAGTACCAGTTTTTATGCCAGTGGAAAACCACCTTGAAGTACTGTACTTTTGGTACTTTCTTGAAGAAAGGTAAGTAAGGTACCTGATGCGCCTTTTAAAGAGAATGCAGAATTAAGGGACGCTTGAGACTTTCTGGTGAAAAGTAGGAGCGCTTGTTTTGATCCGGCTGATGTAGGTCTAATACAAAGCAGAAGAACTGTTGTAATTTAGAAATCACAGATCTCATACAGGTGTGAATCAAGATTGAGGTTTTTTTACGATTAATCATGCAGCCCTAGTAATTACTGTGAATGAAGAGTTTAACAGTGGTGTTTGTTCAAAAATTATTCTTTCAAAATCTATTAAGCATGAAGAAAGAGAGGACGGCTCTTTCAATGTGGACAGCTCCTGTTTCTGTGTCCTGAATGTTGTTGGGTATTTTACCATGGA